AGATGAGGCCACGTGTAAATTGATCCAAAGGTCACCATTCGAATTGTAACACTATAAATACCCCCACCATGTAACAAGAGGAGGACTAATGCATAATAGGAGAGTAAACTGAATATTTTGGAGCAATCTTGCTTATTTCAACTACATTTTTTACAACATTTCATTGCTACAGATCGTACTTTGTCGATTGGTTTCTTATACAATCGTATCATATTCGTGCCGGTGGCCTGAACGGAAACGTCTCGTGCCTTCTAGCCACTCCACGCCTTTTACCTGGAGCCATCATGACCGTCGATCAACATTAGCGTGTTGGATCAAGATTGCGTGTGCACGAGTGGGCCCGACATCTGTTGACAATATTTTTTGGGGTCAACAGTTTCATTATTTCATAAATATCTTTTCTTTTAACATTTTAAAAGTCACATTGATAGAAACAAAGGTGAAAAAAAAATATCGTGAGTTCGAAACCCTTATTTCCAAAGTCTTTTGGTCATTATTATGTTTTTCATAACTCATATTTTGTTTCCCAAAATTCTTTTAGTTGCATTATTGCATTCAGCCCCTTTTGGTTGTGGTTAAAAATAAAAATTGTAGATCGCGTGCAATATATAATTCAAATTAAATATTGAATTTAAGTTATTTTTTTTTTATCAAATTTTTGAGCTACGATAGAGAACCTAATTTTCTGACCCAAAATTGGAATTTTCAATCATTGATACAATTTTATCAACTGATAATGACATTACAATCTGTCATCCCATGTTAGGACAAAATAATTGAATGGGTGGGTTTAAGAATGCTTGTCAACATTTATAATTAACCAAATTTTGTCCATTGCTTGTGAATCATACACTTGGAACTATTTGAATGGAGCACAAGAGTACCCACTGCATAATCCTGTGGTGCTGCTGTAGGGAAACAAAGAAACGGGTCGACTCAGTGGTAACTCGGGAATTGGTTTCTCAACATTCAAATATTCAACCACTTGTTCCATACTAGGCCTCCCTTTGTTGTCATTCAAGGTACACAATAACCCGACTTCGAAGACCCGAATAGCCTGATCTGGGTTCACGACCAAACGCATATTCCTATCCAACAACTTCACCTTCTCATCTCTCTCGTGCAAGGCCCATGCCAAGTCTAACAAGTCTATCTCACCGGGTTTTGAACTCCTGCTCCGACCCGATATAACTTCGAGTACAAACACGCCAAACTCGAAAATATCCACTTTCTGACTCACTAATGCCTCAAACCGAGTTGACTCAATTGACGGTAAAAGAAACCCGAAATCACCAAGCATAGCTCTGAAACTTACATCAAGAAAGACGCTGCTTGTCTTCACATTCTTATGAGCCAATTCCTTGGAATGAAGATAACTCAATGACTCAGCCACATCTTTAACCACCCGGAACCGACGAGTCCATGACAAAACTCCTACGCCGTATAACCACTTATTAAGACTGCCATTCTGAATATAATCATACACAACTATAGTTTCTCGATGATCAAAGCACCATCCTCTGATTGGAACCAGATTCGGGTGGCGAATTTTACTAATGGCTTTGATTTCTTTATGCATTCGTCGTTTATCCAATCCACGTGAAGTGAAAAACTGGCCGGAAAATCTCTTCGCAGCTGTGTTGCAGCCGGCCAACATAGTGGCTTTATATGTAACACTCCTATTATCACTACCCAAAATCTGTAACTCGCCAAAACATCTTGTAGCAGAAGAAATTTCTGATATTGTGAATTTTCGGGGCTTGTTTGGCGGCGTTGGACGCTGCTTTTTTTCAGTAAGCACCATAATTTCATCTTTATTCCTCTCTTTTCGTTTCCCACTGAAATACAGATTAACCAAAATAGCCAAAGAAAGTATAACTACAGCTAAGAAAATCAAGAAACTAGTAGGGGTTTTCTTGTGGGAAACTTCATGATTTTCACTGTTTTGAACTGTGATTTTACTTTCACATGTTTCTGGTGAAGGAACTCGTAGATTGGCTTGACTTGTAGAAGTGAAATTCCAGGACAAAATGTTGTGAATTTGTGTGTGATTTCCAGTCGAAGCTGAGAATCCAATGAACATATATTCATTCAAATAAGGTGAGAGATCAAGATTACCAGAATAAACAGGTTTAGAAGGATGTTCATTGCTATCTTGTCCGAGGTAGATGTCTATATATTTGTTTTGTCCATCATAAGATATCCACGCTCTGTGTATTAAGCCATCTTTGAGATAAATTCCCAAGTTCGATGCGTTGATGGCTGTGGTCGAAACTATGCTACCCAAATTGATTCCAAGATGGTTGTCATTCAGGTCCCCGAACTCGGGGTTCTGACGAGTGTCGAATTCAACACCCACGACTTTGTACTCCTTATCACATACATCGTTGAGCATACCAAGCCATGCACCAGGCCGTCCCACTGTGAACTCGTCGGGAGCTATGATAAAGGTTAGGCCACTGCCACCATCCTGGACGCTCAAATTAGAGCCCCTCAAGGGATTAGAGTTGGAAATGTTTGAAGGACTTTGGAATTGGAAGGAGAAGGTAGTTTCAAATGAGGCTGGAGTTCGACTGACTGGATCGAAAAGGCGAACAGGTGAAGAGTAGATTGCCCTTCCCGCTAGATGCTTAAGATCATTTTGAACTTTTGGATCAGGTATTTGGATAAAGCCCTTTTCGCTTGAAATTGCTGCACTTCCTAAAAGTGAAACATCTTGGCTGGTTCTTGGGTAGTTTGAGCTGAAATCACGAAAGGAGAGATGTTTTGTCACGTTAATTACAGGTTTATTGTCAAGATTATCCTGTGATGAATCAACAAGATTTGGATACCAGACGAAGGGCATGAGGAAAAAGAAAAGAATGGCTGATAACATGGATAAGAACGAGCAGAAACCCATAAGGTAAGATTTGCACAATAGAGAAGAAAGTTGTAGCTAAAAAGAATTTGGAGGCCGGCAATATATGGTAATGTGAAGATCATATATTTCCATGGTCCAGTTGAATCCAAAGGTAGAAAATTTAAGATTAGATTCGCATGTGGTGCGTCTACACTACAAAGATATATTATCTACCCACTTGCTAAAGAATTATCAGCCTCTGCCCTACAAAAACAAGCACAAATCCTTTGGGGTGGGGTTTAATGAAGTAAATGCCATCATTAAGACAACTGAGAGCGACTGCTATATAAACTTCCAAGTTTACGTGCCTGGAAAGGTTACGACTTTCAAAGTCCCAATTATTTGGCCTTCTCTGCAATAATGTAGATGATCATAGTATGAGACACTCATATAGGTATTATATGCCAGCACATTTCCTTCTATAGTAAGAAACATAATTACCTAACAAACAATTCATTCAGAAAAAACAAAGATTGACTCGACATAACTTAGGAAAGGTTTTATATAAGTATTATCTGAAATTGAAAATGAAATTTCAGACCAATTCCTACTGCGACCAATTTCAGGTTTCGACCTATAGAAACTGCTTTAGAAATCTCAAGTCCCGACCGTATAAATACTTTTACTAAGAATACTTGGAGACCTACAGTTGGCACTCGAAAACTCTGGAACAGTTGCATTCCAAGAAACAGGAAGACAGTGGGGAACAAGAATCTGGCTCAAATTAATTCCAGGAATTGAATACCATTCACCACGGTCCATGAGCGAAAACTTTTCAATTCTCCATCTAGGAATCTCATGGTCCAACAAGGCAGGCACAGTCCATTAAACATAAGAGGTAAGACTTGTTTGACAATAAAACTGCATTTGTGCTCTAAGAGAGAGATACACTCAAACAACAAGAACCCATGCCCAGAAGTAAAAGTCACTTCGAAAAGTAGACATGATAAAACTTGAGAAAACCGTAAATTGATTTAAATGGAAAATTATATCCAAAACCAACCAAGTCATTTCCAACTTGAAATTTCATAGCACAAAATTGTGAAATCAAAATTCCAAACATGTCTATAAGAAGTCTCCATATAAATTTAGTGATAACGGCCAGAACGAAACCATCAATGGATATATTCCTCCAACCTAAGTGCTCATTCTTCCTCAACGATGGTTGCCTTCTCACTGACGTAGATACCATCAAGGAATTTCCGGATATCCTTGTTCTTGACATGGCATTTCTGTCCAAACAAATATGTATTTTCAACACGTGCTTGGAAAGAAATAAAAATAAAGAGCAATGTATGTCTGTCTATAAATACATAAGAGTGTCACCTGGTTTATCAACGCACAAGATCGAGAAACAAGCTCAATGTCATTCCCATCCAAAACCAATTCATCCTTGACCTTCTCGGAACGGACAATTGAAACCCCTTCAAGCATATCCACCTTCCGCACCTGATTCAATAAACAGAAACAATAATGTAACGCACAACACCTAATTCATAGGTTGATGTATTGGCGACAAGGTCAGGCACATGCAAGCCAATGGAACTTGTAGCAGAAAAATAGATGCCAGCCCTGTCAACCTAGATGCAGCAGGCATTACTGTATGATCTAAGTCCAATATATTCTGCAAAAAAATCTTATTATCCCCATAATACTATGATAGAAACACAATTGATTTGCATTTCATCCTTATGAATACTTGTATAAATGTTTGGAGGTCCCAATATGCTCGTGATCTAAATCTTAAACCAACATATATTTCATAAACGATCAACCTAAAGCATATAAAATGCAGTATATTTTGTCAAATAGAAACAAATAGTGAGATAGTGTTCCCTTTCCAGAGAAGATAATTCTCATCTCCTCTATGAGAAATCAAGTTTCAGTAAATGCAAAGCAAATTGTATCATTAAAATTATATACTCATGCAAATAAATACAATTCATCATGAGATCACGTTACTATAATGCATTCATAAAGAGATTACATTACTATACAAAGTAAAATAGAGGATGCGGCCAATTAACAATTTTATGTTAAACAACACATCATTATATTGCTGAATATTATATTAAGGTACTTATGCATACCATTCCGAATGCATACGTGGACAATAGTATGATGTGTGTAAAATGCTAAAGTTCGGACCTTTTTCTCGCCAAGGAAGTTACGGATCTCAATGGACTTGTTGCCATTAGCGATCGAAGCATTGATCGGAAAGTGAGCATATACAAACCGCATCTTGTAACGGTATCCCTTAGTAACACCGGTTATCAGATTATCAACGTGGCTAAGCGCAGTGCGGATGGCGGCGGTCGTCTTCCTGGACCCGAACCAGGCATCGACCTTCAATTGCCTCTTCCCAGTAGCCTCATCGGTAGTCAACTGGAAATCCAGATTCAAATGCTTGAAATTCCGAATCAACTTGCCCCGAGGACCCTCCACTTCGATCATTTTTGCCTTCACCTTGATCTTCACTCCATCCGGAATATCCATGGTTTCCGACGAGAGAATTGTCTTCATTTTGACACTCTCTTTGTGAAATTTGCGTTAGATATAAAGAATAGAGAACTAAAAACCTTAATGTGGGAGAAGGGAAGAGAGTATATAGCGGTGTGCTTACAGTGATTAAGGAAAATAAACCCTACTTTTCCTTTCTGGGCCAAAGGGTGGTGGGCTTAAAATATTGGGCCTATCGGGCTTTCATTATACGATTTATGGAAGGGATTTCAGAGGAATTTAGGCTTAGCATGGCCCAATAATTAATAAATAGATTAATACACTTAATTAATTATTAATGTTTTCATTAATTTTTAATTAACCATACACTATACGTCCAAAAAAAAATTACATACATCCCCAACCAAACCCTAACCCACTCAGCTATATTGCAATTCCATCCATCATCACCGTCGGCAATATTAAATACTCTCAGACTCACGTGACTCCATCTATGTCATACCCATGAGTCAAGAAGGCGATAGAAGTGTTTGTGAAACGAAGGGGAAGAAGGAGAAATGTACTAAGATTGACAGATGTTCAATGAAAAAGAGAATCTTGTTTCAAAGGCTTACAAACCTAAGACTAAGCTCAATTTTCTTGGTTGTAAATTTGTATGTCTTTAATTCGAATCTCACTTCAAATTGCTTCAAAGTTCATTTGTTTTTTTTTTTTTTTTGGGTTATTGGCTTACTAGTAGTGTGCTTCCGTTGGAATTTTGAACTCGTAGTAATTTTTGAAAGCCAAATGCTCAGATTTTTTCAATCGTTTCTTGATGTAACTGTCGTGTCATTTTCTACTTCATGTAATTTTTCACGTAAGTCTTGTTTAGCATTGAAAGCATTGTCATCCATTGTTTGTCATAAAATGTCATTTGGAATAGTTTACATTTATAGGGATGTAATAAAGAGCTATTGTGAAGTAGAAAATGGTTTTGTGGTTTGGATCTCAAGAATTAAATCTTAGGGTGTTTTTGAAGATTAATTTGTATGTTATATTGTACTCTTTGTTTTTATATTTTCTCGGATTGTTTTTAGATTCTTCTTCTTGTGAGGGATTCTATGTATTGTTATTTCCATCACATTTCTATCTTTTTAATGGTGATTTTAGTTGAAAAAGTGTTCTAAATGTGTACGAATGGGAATATCGAAAAATTATGTTACTCTTCTTACTATTGGGGGAAAAGATCTGATATGACGTTATCTCTGTTGAAGGTGTATTTTCTTGCTAAATATTCTGCCCTTTCTTTTTAAGTTTATTTTGTGTTTGGTGTAATTTGATTATATGTGTCATTATTTGGAAGAAATGTGATCCCATTAGTAAAGACAAGGCCTAGAATCTGCTGTAAAATCTCATACAGACATCGTTATAACTATTTTGTTTATAAATTTGCAGTGATGTGAAATTATAACTAATTTAACTTTATTTTTGACGAAATATTCTTTTACTCTACTAGTTCCATTGAGTTCCTGGTATAAACATTTGATAGTTTTAATCATAAATAGTTTGATGAGTTTTTTTTTTTGGTCAATTTGTTGTTGTCAAATGTATTGTTACATTCTCGAAAAATGGCGTTAAGAGGTTTTCGTTATGTTGAAGGCCAGGAACTTGATAATTAATGTGTTTAAGATGCTTTTGGAAAAAAGTTATAGCATACAATTATTTAAAGAGATCTTCAATTATAATTGGTGTTCAAAACTTTTTTTAGTTTTTTTAGTTTTTTGAGTTTGTCACTTTTTTGAATTTTTATCACTAAATATTTTCTAAATCCAAATTTATATGCTAGTTAATAGAAGTAAATATAATCACACAGAGACAATATGTAGAAGAAAATCAACTATCAACTTTATCTATTCTAAGGTTTTGATGATATCAGTTAATGTTTTTTTGAGTTTTAGTGACTTTTTTAAATTTCTGTCTTTTTTTTAGTGTTTGTCACTTTTTGAATGACAAACGTCACTTTTTAATAAAGATAACATACGTTTAATAAAAAAATGTTTTAATTGGTGTTTTGTCACTTTTTTGAGTCTTTGTAACTTTTTTTAAATTTTTTTCACTTTCTTAACGTTTGTTACTTTTTATGATTTTTTTGTCACTTTTTTAATTGTTTGCCACCTTTTTCTGTTACTTCCTTGAAATTTATGTCACTTTTTTTTAGTGATAAACATCACTTTTTAATAAAAAAAATAATATTTCAGTGACACTTAATTTGACGCAATTTTTTTACTTTCAAAAAAAAAATTCATATGATTTTTCAAAAGATCCCTAATTTTAAGCATTTTTTGTAAGTTGCCTGGGAATTTAGGCATCTAACCTACTGTTTTTTTTTTACCCTCATTCAAAAGTAGTGAATTATTTTTACATCAAACAAGATTTTGTAAGATTCAATTTCAAAAATAAGATATATTGTTTATTTATACAAAAATCAGATTTGAATTTAATTATTATAAATCAATATTTTAATATTGATAATGATATTATAAATTAATTTATATACACTCACCATACCCTATCTACATCCTTTCAAACCGTAAAATCATTCTCTCTTCACCATCTGTCTTTCTACCCCCAAATCGTCGTCGCTGAGATGTCCTGTAGCAACCCCGCATGATGTGAGCATTGTCATCGCTGTGGCTCATCGTTGCAAAGTGGCTTCTCTCATGTCGCTGCAGCTGTTTGGTGGTGATGATGGTGCTACAAGTAGTGGTAAGCCTAGGCAAAAAAATCAAAAAAATCAATCAAATCGATTGAATCAAATCGAACTGAACCGACTTGAGTCGATTTAGGTCGGTTTGTCATAATTAATTGATTTGGTTTGGTTTTATTTTAAACAAAATCATAGTGGGTTGGTTCGGTTATAGTTTAAAGACTCAAACTGTTGGTTAATCGACCCAACCCACTTACACTTGTTTCCTTTTCTTTTTTTTTCGAAAAAAGAAAAATCAAAGTCAAAAGCTTAATGATGTTCTCCCAAAAGTGAAGGTGTCCAAGCTGTCTCTTAGAATAGTTTTTGGAATATTATATAAAAACTTTGTTTTATGAGGACACTTTCAAGAAAACATTGATATTATTTTATGTTCTTTATAAACGTAGTCTTCTGTTTCGATTGGTAGACCTTATTTTTTAGTTTTTTTTTTTTATATAGCATATTTTACTTGTAATAACTTCGCCTTTTGAAAATGCAGGTTAAGATAATGATTATGGACACATGGTTATGTATTAGTTACAATATTGAATCTTTATAATTACATGTTATGTTTTAATTCGTTAATTATAGCTTATATGTTGTGAAATTGCAAATTGAGATAATGATTTTCATTATTTGAAAACTGAAATTCCAAAACTGTTTTTAGTTGCTATAAGTCGTAACTCAAATAAAAAAGTTATATAAACCAAAAACAAAGTTATATGTACTCTAAGTGAGCCCAAAACTTGAGACAATATTTTTATTTTTTTTAAAATTCAATTTGGAAAAAAGCTCGAACCGATTAATCGAACCAAGCCAAACCGATTTAGTTTAGGTTGGTTTGGTTTAAGAGCTAGATTGGTCGGTTTGGATTGGAATTCACCCAAACCGACTAATTAGGTTTCGGGTTGGGGTTGAAACCGATCCCAAACTAAACGAGCCTAGGTGGTAGTGGATCTAGCGACAACGATGAGGTGGTTTTGGTTGTTGAAGTGGTGTTGGTGATTTTCCATATTTTGGTGTTGTTGGGGGGTTTTGGGAGGTTTGTGTTGGTGGTTCAAGTGGGGGTGGAGGTGGAGGTGGAGGTGCTAGCAGGGATAGCGGATCTGGTGGTGGCTGTGAGGACGATGGTAGTAAGCAACGTTGATGGAGTGAAGCTGGGGACCTTGGCAGTGTGGAGACCCTTTGGCCGGTTGCTGGTACGGTAGTTGGTTGCGATGATGTTGGTGGTACAAGTGGTAGTTTATCTAGCAGTGGAGGATCTAGAGGTGGCGGTGAAGTGTTGGTACAGTGATGATTTCTTATGAACAGTTCTGTGAAGGAGTGTTGGTTGGAAATTGAGGTTGTGGTGATTGTTGAAAATGATGGTGATGGCAGCAATGGTGGAAGCGGTGGTAAGGTTGTGGCGATCGTGGGGTGTTGGCGGTTTTGGATCTGATTTGTTGGTGGTGAGGTGGTGCTGGTTGTAGTGGTGAAGTGACGGTTTTGATGATGTTGTGATGGTGATCGTGGTCACAAATGGCGGTGCTGGTGAGATGGTGTTGATGTTGGCGGTAATGGTGGGAGTGTTGGCAGCGGCGGCAGTGGTCACAATTATTTGGTTAATTGAAACCAATAAATTGGTTAATGTGTGACTAATAAATCATATGTGACAAATGAAATAGATAATTTATGACTAATAAATAACGCGTGACCAATGAAATAGGAATGAGTCAACTTAAAATCTTCAATGATCAATATCTTGGTAGTAGTTTTACTCTTTTTGCTTCACTCAAGTTTTATCCTATTGAGTTTTCGTGACAAATTTTAATGAGGCAACATTTATTCTTAATACTCAAAAAATAATTATACTTTTTTTTTATCTTTTGTTTGATATTTTTGTTCCACTGAATTTTCATTAAACGAGATTATAAGGATATATATTGTTTAGTGAGTCATTCAAAAGAGAGTATTGTAGACTATATATTAATTAACAAATGACCAGTGTATCCTTACTACGCTAATTAGTATTATATCAACTCTAATTCTTACCGATAAATATAGGATTTTAGTTTTCAATAAAATATATATAAATCTGTTAACTTCTCTGTTTTTTTTTATAGTTTATAATATGTTATCAGCATGAAGTTATATTCATTGAGTTAGCAAATTGAGTTTTTACGAAATAAGGTTTTTAGTGAGATCATTATTGTAAATAATCAGTCAAGGCGAAATATATTAAAATAATAACGATGAAGATTGGCCAGTTGTCCTTATCTGTAAGTCCAACTCTCTTATATTATTTTCCCTTTTTTTTTCCTCATAGTTTTATAACAATAAAGGAATTATAGATTTCTTT